ACGTTCTAGTCTCTGGACGCTCCAGTCTGTCGTCCATCAAGCCATCTATCTGGACCTCCTGATGGTTCTTCTGGTCCTACCTGAACAGTGTTCTCCTCCTGCCCCCTCCTCCTCCGTCTCTCTCGCCATCGGTCATGCGACGCCGCCGCCTCACCTGCCGCAGCAGGTCACGAGCCCCACGCTCGCCGTCGCCACGGCGACGACAGAAGAACCTCACCATGAACGATCAGAGGACGAAGAGCGAATCGGCCGAGTCATGAGGACGACAAAGATTCAAAGAGGAGAAGAAGAGACGAGTGTGTTCCCGAGAGCCCAGAAGAAGAATGAGAGAGGCTGCAGCGCAGAGCTCCGCCCCCTGCTGCTGGCTAATCAGATTAACGGAGGAATTATTAACAGATTACTGGACTCCAGTCAGAGTGGTCAACATACGTTATGATGTCATCATTTCATTCTGCCAAACAATGACCAACATAATTAGAACTCCTGCTCATTTACCAGCTCGGTCTAAACGACAATGAAACACATCAGTGGCTGAATCGCACAAAATAAACTAATTCAAGGTTCCACAGAAAAAGATGAGAACAGCTCGTGTTTGTTTCAGTGATGAAAACATCCACAGACTCATTAGCTGATAATTATTCTTATTAATAAGAAAACTGTCTTTACAATATTGACTATTAATAATTCAATATTCACGTAATAAACGGTAATAAATGAACCTTATTGATGCTGTTTTACTTGGTCACAAACCAAACATGGAATTGTATAAATAAAATAAGGTGTCACCAGGAATGCATGAGCTCAGGATGACTGGCACGACTTCCCACATGAATGGTTCTGATTCTCTGGTTCCCTCTTATTCAGACCAGCTGTTGTTGTAAATCACGTTGTTATTGAAGCATTACAGTTGTTAAAGTTAGGATTTGAACATTAAACCTACGACTGTATTTTACTCACTGAAGAGTGACAGAAGATTAAAGAAAATCCAGATCATAAATACTTTCATGTCAGAATGTTCTCCTGTTGGTCATTGATCACATTTAAATCAATAAATTCACTGATAAACCAACAGAAGCATCAATAAAGAGCAAAGTTTTGTCCAATCAGAGCCTCCATCTGTCCTGCAGGTTACTGATTGACCAATCACACCATGACATGCAGAAGGCAGCGATCAGGAGACAGCAGGTGAGGGCAGGGGGCGGGGCTTCAGCCAGGCAGGGACATGTCATGACCGTGACCTCGGCGTCACCTTTCACCACGTCAACGAATCCGTGTCCTATCACCTGAGTGATGTCACTAACACGATTGGTTCACGCAGTCGGACCGTCAGAGCTCAGAGCTGCAACCTCTTATGTCATTCATCCAGTGGTGGAAATAAGCCGACCCTGACGTAATCATCTGGAGGCTGCAGGTAGCTCGATATGATTTAAATGTCGCTCTGAGTGTAAGGAGGAGGTGGGATTAGAAACTCTGCTTCAGGTACAAACTAGTCAAACACGGTTAAATCACTGAAGTCAAAGGAAGCGTAAGAACTCAGTGTTTCTGGGTTTGAGACTGTTGACAGGTGACCCAACACATGCTGCTGCAGCTCAGCTGGTTCTGGGCTGGAAGGAAACAAAGACGGGCGTTTGGAAGAAGTTTGTGAGTTTCAAAACAAAAGCTCAACTTAAAATAGTCCACATGCATCGGGAGAACAAAACCTTGTCACCTTTTACTCTCCACTGAGTGTACAGCTCTTCTGCTGCTATGACTTTATTGGAGGCCTCTGACAGCTAAAGGAGGTGGGCGGAGCCTCCTCAGGGAGGGAGGGGCTTCAGAGGAGGAGAAGATGAAGAAGCAGTGAGGAGATGAAGAAGAAGGTCGAGCATCTGCCCGTGCTCAGTGGAGGCGGAGAGAGAAGGGACAGGATGACAGATACAAGATGAAGGAGATGACGCAGGTGTTTCTCACCTGTGTGGGCGTGGCCAGAGGGGGTGGCACTCCATCCTCCTTTTGACCCTGCCTCCTGTATTGCTGGTAACCAAGGTAACCTCCTCCTGTCACCAACAGGAAGGGGAGCGGCCGGGGGCGGGGCAAGAGACCACGACCTGAAGAGACAGAAGGAGCTGATTGGTCCAAAGATCTGACAAACACAACAATAAACAAATAACAAGATTAAATAACAACAATCAACACCAAAATCAGAAATAAACATTAAAGCAACAACAAACAGCAGGAGCTGCAGACTCACCTGTGTTCAGGCTCCTCTTCTGGCAGCCGTTTGGAGGGAAAACTCTGAAACCAGAAAATGAAACTGTTACTCTGTAATTGGTGGAGAGCGGATGTGGGCGGGGCTGTAGGTCGAAGTGTGACGAAGCCAGACCAGTGGGTCAGCAGGTATGATGAGCTTAAAGCCAAAGTTTTCAGTCCCACGAAGGTGTCTCTCTGTTTACATGCTAGGTCTCCATGGCAACTGACGCTGTGGAGCAAGGTCTCCATGGCAACTGATGCTGTGGAGCTAACCCGGTCCAGGTTCTGTTCAGAGTTCCAGAGCGTCTCCCTTTAACCAGACGGTTTCCTGACTGTTATTTATGAGCGATCCAGACTCTCAGCTGAGGGAATGTGTTTATCTGCTAACATGCTGAGCTGTGCGTCACTAATATCACTGAATGAAGCCGTGGAGCTACAGCATCACACACTGGACTCATAACGTTGCCATGGGAACCAGACGTGTTTAGTTGCTGATGTCAGGT